AAAGCGGCTTGGGGGATTACGATTACGTATATGAGATGCTGATTGAAAAAAAAAGTGATCAGTTTCAAGGACGAACGGCGTGTCTTGATTTTCAAATCAACTAGCCTCATGTGATCGTGAAGACTTCTAGCGTGGCAGCGTTTGTTTCTACGAGCGGCTAGAGCGGCAGTTTCTTTTCCGGGTGAGGGCCGTAGTCGGGGGAGAGTTGTATCCGCGGAAAGAGCTTATCGAGCGCGCTTGTTGGAGAGCCGGCTCTCCCTCCGCGGCATAACTCCCTCTGCCGCATTCAAGAACCTTTTCCCGAGTAAAATAACGCGTATTAGCGCTTCTCACAAAAATGACAAAATAGAATCCGCCGCTGAGGAAGTCTATACAACGGAGGCTATAAAATATCTGCACACTTTACCATAATTGGTGTTATTTATAACAATATTGTAATATAAATCACATCTAGATGTGATTTATAAGTACTTCGGGACCTTCGACCCGGAAACCCAAGGCTTAGATATCTAAGCATTGAGTTAAAAATTCCGGGTTGAAGTTCCCGGGTTACCCACTGGTCCCGTGGACGCCAGGAACGCGCTGTCACATGTGTGGTACTACTGTCGTGTGATCGCAAAGTACTGGCATTCTTGGGAGAGGTCGTGCATGTATATATCGTGCATGTCTTGTTATGAAAATGCAGTGTTAGACCAATTACCAAAACACACTACTCACTATAGCGCAAGAAACTCGAAAACCGCGACAGAACGCTTCAAAGATCAAAAGCAGCATGTCAGTATGAGCGACGTGATCTCAAACCTGGAACCTCGAAACCCTTTCGTCCCTTTTTGCCATACACTGCCACGGAAGAATTCAGGAGTACACTGTTAATCCAGGAAGCGCGCGGCGGAGTACGGAATTAACAGGCCAGATGCATATGGCCATGGTTGGTACGCTTGGACCAACCGTGACACTCCGCCCCTGTGGCGTCGCCAAAACAAAACAAGACTTGTTTAGAGGAGGTTTCCGGGTCGAAATTCCCGAAGTACTTATAAATCACATGTAGATGTGATTTATGTTATAATATTGTTATAAATAACACCAATTTGGTAAAGTGTGCAGATATTTATAGCCTCCATTGCGGACTTCCCCAGCAACGGTTAACGTATGCAACCTTCCAAACGTATTCCATAGTCTTCCCCCATGTCTCCAGTTGTTTGAAAACATCAAAACTTACCCCCAGAACTTACATAATTTGTTGCTTTTCTTGTGATGACGAAGTTGAGGAGATGTCTGCCAATCTTCCGAACGCAGCGGAATCAACAGGAAGTCACTACACGGAAAGTCCCGAAGGTTACCGAGGATTGCCGAAGCATGTTGCTATGGAGACAAAACATTTGCTCGGAACGTTATTTCCGTTTCCCATCAGGCTTTGTGTCCTGGTAGCTGAGCACGGGTCAGCGAAATATTCCTCCGCATCGGTTGCAAACGTAGCCCTACAATGAAGAAAGACAAACAGTAACTTTGACATAAGTCATTATAAGAAGTAAAACAGTATACATAGTACATGAATGTATCAGTGGTTTGTTGCGATTAATGAGAAGAACTATTTTTCCTGCTTTTCGAAGGGAACTACTTTTCCTCTCCCATGGATAACAGGGTGTGGTTAGGACATATTAGAACACGGAAGCGGAATTTCTGAGCTGCTGGATTTCATTGACAAATCTGCAAGATGTCGGGTTCTGAACGATCTCACGCCGAGATCGAACCTCACATCACCAAGAAGTACGAGATCAAGAAGAGGCTCGGGAAAGGGGTAAGCACCAGAACGATGCGCTAGAGTCATTTTATACCGTTTTCATTCAACTGCAGGGGAGGACTGTATACGGTGTACCTGTATAAACCTGCAGGTATTTGTTTAGGAAACGACGTATCGATGGCTGATCAAATCTGACATCCTGACGGTTTATATTTTCCTTCCTTGTTGACCTTTTTCATAAAATCAAGCCTTTACGCTTATCGGCATTGTTGAAGTTGCAGCTTGATGCATTTGCATAATTTTGAGTGCTTTGTTGTGGTGTTTATAACGTTAAATGCATATTACTAGTAGCTATGTGCATGTTGTTGTTGCCACCTGTTAGCTAAGACACCTTTCACTGGCTATTTTCAAAACATTTGCTTCTGCATAAATTCGTTCAAAATCCATTTCATGCATTGAATTTGAAATTATGTATCTAACCCACAATGGAAAGACCTCCCGCACTGTTTAGTCACAACTTAAATGTATAAAACTACATCTGTGCCACAATATGAGTCATGGTGACATAACATGTAACGTTATGACTTTAAACACAGCATGAAAAATATCTCTGACAGTGGATATAAAGAGAGGAATAATCCTCAATATAACTTACATATATAAGCCAATTTGTCTTTTGCACTGCAGAAGGCAGAATGGCTTTGTCTGCCCTTACCCATCATTTAAAGCTTGTGGGAGCCACACTGGAACTAATTAATTCAGGCTGTCTCAAGAGTCAAAGACCGGTTTTAACAGGAACTATGCAGTTCCAGCTAACAGTAAGAGTGACTAATGCTTACATTGTATGCACAGAAAATGTCAATTGGCTTGAAGGGTTAGTCCGCTGTCACCATTTGTGTCAGACAAACACCAACTTACAGTATCATCATCATTGACTAAATGTCCTGTTCCTTCAAGTGATTTTAGCACAATCAATCCAGCATTCTAGTTTTGATACAGGTTTTGAGGTTTAAAAAAAACTCAAAAACCAGTGTACGAAAACTGTTAGAAAATTTGAGACACTGTTCTTGCAAACTGTATTGGTACACAGACCAGTAATTATAAGCAATAGGTCAAATGTAATCCTCAAAGTCAAATTCCCTTCTCCTGAGATGCAGCACTGTAACTTACACGTAAGCCTTTGGTCTTTCCAAATCTAATGTTCTCGCAATCCGGTATCTAATATACATGTCTGATTAAATCTCCTGCAACTTTAATAAAATTTGATACGCATCCAATTTGTATACTAGTAAGTCCTTACCACATTGAGAAGTAGATGAATTACGTATACTTATAGTACTGGTAATGTTATCATCTATGGTAACAATGGCATCATATGTACCATTTTTGTGAGTAGAGTACTCTACCAATACCATTATTCAATCACGTTAATAATGC